AAGCAGCAGGTACAGTTGGTGAAGTATTTTCATTCGAGCTGAATTTCACACAGTTCCATGCAGATACAGTGCCAGAAACTTCTTGAATGTGTCTGGCTGAAAGCCATATATTCCAGCGGGCTTCTGCAGAGAAAAAAAAAGACATGGATGCTCAGTTTGCAGCAAAGTGATTAATGTAGACAAACAAGGGCTTTAAATACCGCTTGAATAAGACTCCAGACGTGGCAGCTTCCAAATTGTGCCTGCCCTCCCTCCCCACATTGGTTTGTGTGCGGGTGTTGCCACTGGTTATACATCTCAGATGGCATAAACCCTTTGCCCATCAAACCCAGATGCCTTCCCAGTGTCACAGAATCGCATGGGGTTGGAAGGGACCTCTGGAGATCATCTAGACCAACCCCCTGCCAAAGCAGGTCCACCCAGAGCAGGTTGCACAGGAACATGTCCAGGTGGGTTTTGAATGTCTCCAGAGAAGGAGACTCCACCAGCTCTCTGGGCAGCCTGTTCCAGGGCTCTGCCACCCTCAAAGTGAAGAAGTTCCTCCTCATGTTTAGGTGGAACTTCTTATGTTCAAGTTTGTGCCCATTTCCTCTATCCTGTCACCAGGCACCACTAGAAAAAACTCTTGACACCCACCCTTTAAGTATTTACAATCTTGTCACCAGGCACCACTAGAAAAAAGACTCTTGACACCCACCCTTTAAGTATTTACAGGCGTTGATCAGATCCCCCCTCAGTCTTCTCTCCTCAAGACTAAAGAGTCCCTCAGCCTCTTGTAAGAGAGATGCCCCAGGCCCTTAATCATCTTTGTAAGACAGGTGCTCCAGGCCCTTAATCATCTTTGTAGTCCTTTGCTGTGCCCTCTCCAGCAGTTCCCTGTCCTTCTTGAACTGGGGAGCCCAGAACTGGACAACAGCATCACAAGGGCTGTTGTCCAGAGTAGATAGAGCACGGCACTCTATTTACTCTGTGGCAGAGCTGACAGTTGTGTGTCAGCACTCCCTTCATCAGAGCATGAGCTGATACAAAACACACATATGAGGAGCTGGTAGATTACAGTAGGGCCTATCTTCAGGTAGAAGTTCCTGTGAAGCTCAGCATGTGGTTTGCACGCTGGGCAGTACAGCAGTGCTTACAAATATTCCCCATCAGCAACACATGCCTAAGAAGAAGGTCGCTGCCCATGTCAGGTCCCTTCTGCTGCTTTAAACCCCCCCCCTGCAGCTTTCAAACACCCACCAGAGGCGAAAGGGTAGAGTTTCTGGGACCATTTCCCCGAGTTTTGCTTACCGTAACGACTCTCTTCTTGATTTCGGGAACACACTGAGCTTTTTCATACAGGTTCTGATCGGAGTCAATCCAGACCAGATTTTTTATGCCATCATTAGAGACGAGGTCTGTTGTGTTTAACTGGAACACCATGAACTGGAAGAGCTGGCCATCTGTGCCAACGCTCTGCACCACTATTGGCTGCTCCAAAACCTGGGGATCGTTCTAGGAAAGGAGGAAGGATGGTTAAAAAGCCACTGAAATTGTATGAGTACTTGCTGATTCTGCATCTTCTACTTGGTTTAAAGCCAGTATTTTAATAAACGTATTGTTACCTTGCCCAGAAAATTACTCTAGTCAAACAAGTTTTGAATGTAGATTTTGTATTTTAATTAAAATTCCTCCTTCAGCAAGCAATGAAGTATCAATTTACATAAGGAGCTGTGGGGTGGGTTGGAGTTTTACAGTTCAACTTGCTCCTTGGTTCCTTCCCATTACCATTCCAATGCGTGTTACATCACGAACATGCTCACGGCTGAGAGACAGTTTTCTGGATCAAGCAGACACCAGTAACCAGACCTGGAGGTTCGAGTCAGACCTCTGGAGAGGGAAAGCTCAGATTTGAAAACTAATCTAACGTGCCACGGCAAGGGAATGGCACGACCCTTCCCACCAGCTGGAACGTGAGGGAAAGAACAAAGGCCCAGCGAGGCCGCAGCAGTCTCCGGTACGTACCCCGTAGAGCAGCTTAGCCTTTGCCAGCGCGTTGCCGAAAGCAAACATCAGCATTTTAGCACGGAGCTGTTCTGGCCTGAACCTGCGAGTACGAACGTTGGCCGATTCCAGGAAGAAGAGAGTGTGAGGATGAGAGTAGGGATAACCATCTCTGAAACCTAAAACAGCAGATAATCGTGTCAGGAATCGCTCAGCAAGAGCCCGCGCGGCTGATATTTTCTCCCCTGCTTTGAGGAACTGTCAACTCACTGGGATTTAAGTTCTTCTCCACAGCCCTGCCTAGGCCACAATACACTTGCCATGGGTCTGGAACACTCATCCTGCACACCCTGTGCCCAGCAACTATGCTTCCTCGTTCCCACCCACCCCCTACCCACAGCTGTCTCGCAGCAGACGGGCAAGGCCTGAAAGAAAATGATGACCAACAGCTAGATTTACCTGTATCGTTGAGCTCTTTGTACACATTCACTTCCTGAAGATCGATTGTCGGAGAGATGGGATAGAAGGTCTCCAGAACGTGTTCTTCAGTGGCCAGTATCTCCTCCTTGGAGGCTACTGGTGGTATCGGGGCCATAGAGTTCATAAGTATTCCGTTCAGGCCACGGACCTGAAGGAGAATGGATTCTGGGGAAGGAAATTAGGCTACATTCAAACATTGCTGAAATAACATAAGGGAAAGGTGTATGATTCCTTTGGGGCAGCAGCATTCTAGCAAGAACTTGCTCTGCAAGGCTCGCTCTTTCCCTCTCACCTCCAATCTAAACTTACATAGCAGCTCAGCTATAGGTTCTTCTAAAATACCAACTTTCACTGCTGGTGTCAGTTTCTTAACTAAACATATGTAGAAAAACAACAGTACAGATTTTGGACATACAAAAAAGTAAACAATCAGTTCTAAGGCACTGGTTCTCTTCTCCTGCCATCTTGTTGATGTTGTCTAACACCCTAATAATCTCCTCAGGGCAAGGATCCTGCCACCTTCCAAGGCTGCCCATCCCTACAGCACTACTTAAAACTGACAGACTTGCACGGTTCCAGAAATTGTTTCATTTTCCCCAAGGCCTCAGCCTTAAAGCCAGCAGCTTTGTTACCCCTCTTACATGAATGACAAGAGCTAAATGCATCCACCACAGCAGCAACTAACCTCTTTCCCAGGTAGCTGATATCTTGTACTTTCTAGCCAACATTCTTTTAGTCAGAGCAGGATACCTCGCAGCCATTGACCGACATAAATGTATCAAATCTTCAAACAGTACCGGGCTTTAGAATGAGAGAAAAAAAACAAAACAAAACAGTTGCATAAAAAAGTGTGAGCGTAATGGCGGACAGATGCTGCTGGGACATGAATGCTGTTAACATTACTGTATGTAAAATATATAACAGCATAACATTTCCAAACAGCTAACACAGATTTCAAATTAATACACCACACGGCAGTCCTGTTCCAAGTTGGCAGAGGTAATGCTTACACTACTTATTTAAAAATTGACATTCTGCATCAGCTAGAAGTAGATCTCAAGTCGAAACACAGACCTTGGCCTGAAAGATGCTTTAATGTAGAGTATGTGTTTACATCGGTACTACTGTCAATGTTCAGAACTGGGGCTTTTGGTTGTTGTTGTGTTTTACAAGTTGACAACCTGATACAAAGGGTCTAACAGTTTTGCACAGGACGTGAATTGTTCAACAGCAGATCTTGGCGCCAGGACTAGAGGAAACGGCCTCAAGTTGCACCAGGGGAGGTTCAGGTTGGATATTAGGAAAACTTTTTAGACTGAAAGTGTTATTAAGCATTGGAATGGGCTGCCCAGGGAAGTAGTTGAGGCACCATCCCTGGAGATGTTCAAAAGACAGGTTGACGTGGTGCTGGGGGACATGGTTTAGTGAGGTTTTTTTTGGTCAGAGTTAGGTTGATGGTTGGACTAGATGATCTTGAAGGCCCCTTCCAACCTAGACGATTCTATGTGTGAACTTTTCTTTGCAGTCTTAAAAAATCTGGTTCTTGAGCTACCTGCTTGATGACTGGCTTATGAGAAAGGCGCAACAACAGAGGGGAAAGATCGTCCCTACGGCCGAGGACTCACCAATAATGTTCTCTCCTGGGAGCAACTTCTGTCGTGTCCCAGAACCGTGCGTGCGAGATGGCACGCTTTGCCCCCTCCTCGTAGTGCTCCAGCTGGTGGGCCGGGTTGTTGACGATGCTGAGCACCGACGGGGGCAAACCTTCCACCAGCTTCGTCTTGGTGAGCCACTGCGCTTGCCGGACTCCTTGGAAATGAAAAAAAAACCAAAACAAAACAAGAAATATGTGTGACTGAGGCCTCTGGGCAACGGGCCGCCAGTGCGGTTTTTTGACACTGGGTGAGGAGAAGCCGTGGCTGGAGGGAAGGGCGAGTGCTTGAACAGGCTGTGCGGCCCGGGGCAGGGCTGGGGGTGCAGAGCGGGGTGTCCCGGGCCGAGGAGGCCCCGGAGGAAGGGCGGCCGGGCCGTACCTTCCAGCATGCGGACGCCCTGGTGGCAGACGTAGCAGCCGCGCTCCTTGTAGAGCGGCATCTCCTCGTAGCGCGGCCCCGGCGAGTGCCGGGGATCGTGCCAGCCGCGGTCCCAGGGCGGGAAGTGCGGCCTGGCTAAGCCGGGCACGAAGTACTGCCGCCCGGCGTAGGTGATGGTGTCCAGCTCCACCTGCTCCCTCACCGGCCGCCGCTCCACCGCCCGGGCCAGTTCCTCCGGCGGCGGCCCGCGGGTGGTCCACGGCGTGCGCGGCAGCGGCCCGCGGGGACGGGGACGCCCCCCACAGGTGAGGATGCCGCGGGTGAGGACGCCGCGGTCCCGCACCGCCACCGCCGCCCGCCTCAGCGCCATCGACCCCGCCGCCGCCATCCTTCTCCTCCTGCCGCTGCCTCAGCGCCCGCCCGCCGCCATCTTGGCGCGCGCGGCACGGCGGGAGCGCGGCCGG